GGCGGTGGGGGCAGGATCCCCCGGGCCGGGGCAGGACGAGGAGAGGCAGAGCCGAGTTTCTCGCCTTTCCCAGGCTTCCGCCGCCCACCCGCCCGCGCCGGCGAAGCAGCGCAGTCACCGAGGCCGAGACAGTGCCAGAGGCTCGGGGTTCTTGGGGCAACGCCTGTACGGGCACCTCAAGACCCAGGGCTGAGCCAGTCTCTGATGTAACGAGGTAGTCTTGGTGGCCCGAGGCAGGCGCCCTGCCTCCGTTCAAGGATGAGCTCTTCTGCGGCTCATGGATGGGTCGAGAGTCCGATTGTGGAGCCGCGCGCCTGTCCGGAGAAGCCGCAGGTCTTTCTGCAGAGGAGAGTAGGCCAGAAGCTGGGATTCCTCTCCCTTTCCTTCCTCAGCTTTCTCCTTGCTTCGACAGCAAGACACTTTACCTCAAAACAATCGACTACTTGGTTGAGGTTGCCCCACCTTTGGGGCCAGTTGCCAGCCAGCTCCTCCCAGCTCTTGACGCTGACATCCGTTTTCTTGAGATCTGCCTTCAATGTGTCCTTGTAGCGTTTCCTCCGGCCATCGCAAGATCTCAGGCTCTTGTTTAGCTGGAAGTAGAGCACTTGTTTTGGGAGTCAAGAGTCAAGCATCTGCGCATATCTGGTCCAGCTAAGTTGCTGCTTGAGGATCACTCATTCATCATGCTGTATGCTGTCCTGTGCCACATTGTTCCACTTATGGTGCAGAAGCATGTATCTTAGGGCAGGGCACTTGCTACCTCTTGGATCTGATCAAACACTTCCACAGATTTGGGCACTAGATATGGGGCCTTGAAGGGTTGGATGGGGAAGTGCCCTTTTTGGGCTGACTGGTGAGAGCACGAGAAAAAGACCAACACACTGCGCTCCACTTGCATGTGGACTGGATAAGATCATGCGTTGCTGGTATGCGCAACTGCCCTAGTTTCTTGCCTACTGCTTGCCTTGTAACAACCATTGTTTATCTGCCTATCAGGTAAACAGTTTAGGTGCACAGCATCTTTCAACCCTACCCTTAACTTTGTAACTTAATGGTACTCCTGGTAACTGCATTGGAAGTGGATCTGTCACTGTCTCTTGTTACAGTGATGTATATAGCTGTGCTGGTCCAGGAATTATGCCAGCACGGCTTTATACATCACTGTAACAAGACTTTGAATGCAATGCATTCTTCTTCAGATCTGATTTCCCCCCCAAGGAATCCACCCTTGATCTTGATCTGTTTGATCTTTGTGCTTTCTTTTCCCTAGTGGGCCTTTATTCCATGAAACATAAGTAGAAGTTCTGATTGTGAACCAATGGTTGGAGCCACCAAAAGTATCATTTTCCAAGTGAAATGGGAAATCCAGTGCTTTTCCCCAAAATAATGGCATTCTCCTGAGTGTTCTAGCAGCATTCCAGTACACGTTATTGTGTTCTGCCTCCCTGAATGCCCTACACTTTGCACTGAAGAAAGGATTAGTCCCTTCCTGTTCCAGTCAGCTGTGCTGTCAAATGTATTCACAACTGCTGGCCTGTAACACTCCACTTCAGCTTGGTGGACAAAACAATCCTTCTCTGTAGTTTGTACTTTGAGATTCTTCAGGAGGAAGAAGCCCAACATAAACGTAAAGATATTATCAGTACAACAAATCCCCATCTTTTAATTTTCTCTTTTATTCTTTCCAGATCTTGCTTGCATCTGCTACTTTCAGTTTGTCTGTTTCTTCCTCTTTCAGGCTACACAACTTCTTGTCAGTTGGGAATGGCAGAAGTAAACTTCTGCTTCAAATCTTTCCCCTCACTCTTGAAAGAAAGCCTTATTATTTATGCACCTGGAAACCCATCCAGGATCAGGGGCCGGTTGTGCTAAGTACTGTACAAACACACAGTATGAGCCAGTCCCTGTTCCAACTGTCATACAATCTGAAGAGTGTAAACCACAAAGACTAATGCACGCTTGCTGACATCAGACAGGCAGAGAAAGAATGGGAGGGGAAGCAGAGGCATGGAAAAGTGAAGCATGATTTTTTTCCATCCTCAGATAAAAGCCTATCTTCATTATTTTTAAGATCCTGAATGTATGCAGTCAAGGTTGGATGATGGTTGACTTCACTGAAATCAGTGGAATTCTTGTGCATGAGTATTTGCAGGATTGGCACTTATGATTTAGAAGCATATTCTCTCTTTTTGAAAAATGTGGTGTTAATAGCAGTGTGGGTTACTAAAACTGAACTAGCTTAACATACCTAACAAACTGTCACCGTTGCTTTATTTTGATGGAAGCCAGTAAACAATTAGTAGGGATAACTTGGAATCTGACATTTATATTAACTCATTGCTTGAACACAACTTTCTTACCTCACTACTTTTCTCTGAAGCTCTCTAAACTCTCTGAAAAGTTTGATGAGTTTTTACTAATTTCTGCTACATTCAGTTGAACCAGGCAAATCAAAAGTCTATTAACAAGACTACTTGTGGAGTGGTCTCTAGTTACATTTTACTTTTTGCCATTTGGTGCTATTAATAATTATTTTATGAAAAGCTTCAACCATCCAATTAAGAAACAATAAACAAATAATATCTACCATATCAGTTCTAAAGAAATAACACCATGCATAAACAAAGGGAAATTTGCAAATAATTCAAAGGCTTTTCTTTCAGTTTTTTGGAGAATATTTTGGATATATTTACAGAAATTAATAAACAACTCAATAATAGAAGGAAGGACTACATTTATGAGGAATTTGATTTAAAATTAATAAACCTTTGTAAAAGAAGAACCACAAAGAGAAGAGCTGCAGTTTTCAAAAGAAAATGGATTTGATTTCGCTTCAAGACTATGGTAAACCCCTGTCCCAAATGCTTATGACCTGAAATACATTCTGTTCTGCATTAGGTGGCTGTACATTGTAAGGAAGGGAGATTAATTCTTCATCATTATTCATCATACTTCCTTGAACATGTAATGGAGTTGAATTTCATTGTAAAGTTACTGATTCACCTCTAAGTTAAATTTAAACCAGCCAGCTTAAGGCAATGTGAAATTGTTAAGGAAAGCATCATTTATCCTGCTTAGTGACTCTCTCTCCCCCTCCTCTTTCTAGATAGAACTTTTCCCTTCTCTCTTTAGACTGCACATTTACCTAAAAATTAATAAATACAGCCAAATTGCAAAACTGTAAGACAGAAGAATTGTAACATCTGTTTTTCACCAAAAAATGGATTGTGAGTTCTTAGGAGATCTCCTCTACTTGTAGATTTTTATTTTGGTAGAACTCAAAAGCAGTCCGGATTGGTGTCTTCTGTGACAGGTGCTGTATAAGCATTTGAGAAAAGACAGTCCTGTCTCAAAGACCTCACAGTCCAAGGGAATCATTTTGCAAAGACTTAAATACATTAATAGCTTTACTCGCATGAAAGTAATGACCTGCAAGCCCTGATGAGTCAGACCTCTAATATATGTACTTAATTTTAGGCAAGAATAGTTCTAACAGAGTCACAGGGATTATACATGCAAGTAAATTTACTAATGTGTCAACATTTGCAGAATTGGTCCCAAGCTGGTCAGGTGCAAATCTTTTATTTTTTTCCTTTCTTTTCATATTAATATTTATCACTCCCTATTTTTAATCTCCATGATTATTTTAACCTTCGATTTTTACTGAAGTTATTCATGCTAATTTTTTTCTTCTGTTTTTGCCTACAGCTAAATTAACAATTTGAGGTTGGTTTGAATGTTACCTTTTCTATATCAATTCATTTTTTAGATATATGTTTATTCTTGCATTTTACTATTTAATCCTAGTCTTGCCATCTTTTTAAAATAATGTAATCCTATAAAACATATTAGACGTCTAATATTAAGCAGGCATAATACAAATCAGGGGTGTCAAAGATATGGCCTACAGGTTGGATCCAGCCTGAAGAGCCTTAACATCCGGCCTGTGGTGCCACCTGTGGGTCTTGACTGGCTTGGCATGCTGCACGACGTACACATTGGCCCCAGTACCTCATATCCTTTGTGGCACATGGAGCAGATCCTGTGCATGCTGCTAGATAAATTATTTAATCTAGTCTGGATGAAGCTAGCGCATGTGCTGGAGGCAGCCTGCAGGGCGGCTCAGTCTGGGGCACATGCTGCATTGCAGCGCTTGTGCCAGACTAGCCCAGCATGTTGGATCTGGCTCCCGAGGTTGTCTGGAAAAGGCCTCCAGGGCCTAATGAATTTGATACCCCAGATATAAATTATATGTTCATACTTCTCCAGCTGATTGATATTAACTTTATTTTTTGCACCTCCAGTCCCAGGTTTTCATTAAGCTATATC